GCAGGTGCAGACACACAAACACAACTGAGAAACCGAAAACGCTATTTGTTACAGAAGTCAAGATCCCGAATAAGAAGCGGTGACGACAACCAGCGGACCCGTCCGGCTCCTCTCGCCAGAGCGCAGCCATGAAGCCGTCTCCCCCGCTTCTGTGCGGGGCCGGAAGTGACGAAGTGAAGAGGCGCCTCCCCCCTCCCACCCCCGACGTTGCTCGGCGACGCACTTCCGGCGCAGGTCGCCGAGAGGGAGAGACCAGCTGAGGCGACGGTTTCCCTCAACGCGAGTTAACTGTCCTGCAAACTGACCGGCTCCCCTCTTTTGTTTTTTCCGCGACGCTGTTGGGGGGAGAAAATAAAGAGACATCCCCCTTATTCCGTCCTCCTATGAGGTCGAATGGCCGTGACTAAAGTAGAAAATATGGGGACAAAAAACCAGCTCCTTTTTTTTTGGCTGACTAGGATAAATTTTCGGGGGGAGGGCCGTCTCTCTCTCTCTCTCTCTCTCTCCAAACCGGGTGGAAACTCTCCCCCCTTCAACCAAGAGAAAAGAAACGCGTCGTTAACAATAAAACACAGTTACAAACAGCGTCAACTTCCACTTCTGTCTTCGCGTTGTTGTTTTTTTTTTAAAAAACAAAACCATCCCCCACTCTCAGTTACTAAAGCCACAGAAAGGAGATTCACCCTCCTCCCTTTATATGAACCTGTTAGCTGTTCCCTGTCCAGTCTGGGGCGGCTCAGTGGGAGAAAGAGAGGAGCCATTTACCGACGGGAGGATGAAGAATGGCGTCGTCTCCCGGCCCCGGGAACGAGGCATGATGGGAACCCGCTGCTACAGGTGTTTCAGGCGAGAGGGGGGAGGGGCATACCACATGTGGGCGGGGTTTCGCGGCCCCGCGAACCTTATATGGAGTTCCTGTGGGCGGTTCTCAGCCCTATAAGAGAGGCCTGGAGGGTGATCTCAGTTCTTCCAGTGGAGTTGAGGTTTACCTTTGATCAGGTGAAGACTTGTCGGTGTTCTCCGATGGCGGTTTGTTGCGTTTCCCAAGTGTGTCGCTTCTGGTTCCGAACTGGGGGTGGTCTCTCAGTGCTCTGACTGGCTTTAAACGCTCAGTTGGAGCTTTCAGGTTTATCTTCTGCTTTTTCTAGTTGAATAGAATTGCAGCCTGTGTTTTTACAGTATGGATGGCTGTATTGAAGGCTGCTCAGTGTGGAAATGTGGGAGACTACAGAGGTATTTTTTTTTCCTTCTTGGTTGGGCGGGGGAGTGAGTCCTTCAGGTTCTTGGTGAAGACTTAGAATGTGCCTTTCCTGCAACTGTCTCATTGCTAGGTCAGTCGTTGGAAGTGTCTTCACACCTGTTTGTCTAAATAACTTTTTTTTTTTCCCCTGTCGTGACAGGATAAATTGGCTCTTTCTCTCTCCGACGGTCGCCTCCGACGTACCATAACCATGTCTCAGTGTCAAGGTAAGGAGTAGTGGGGGGGGGTATTCTGCTGAAAAGGTCTGAACAAGGTCTTGTTTATCTGACTTCAAGAATATTCTTTTTGGGACATGCTGTAATAGTGTAAGGCAGTATTGGGTGTGTGTGTGTGTGGGGAGAAGTGGTTCCCCAGTCCAGTTGACCTTATCCCCAGTCTTGTTATCCAACTACGTTTGGGGAGGGATACAGGCCTTGCCCTCCCTGATAAAATAACCTCCCTGTGAATGGATCTGGAGCTTGTGTGCTGGTTTCCAAACCAGTAACCAGCCCCCAGTCCTCTCTAGGCTCTCGGTACTTGATTTGCTAGAATGAGTCGCATGGTGTTTGTAGACCATGAGCTCCTATAGTGGTTTCTTTTTTTATTGCACCTCGTTGACAACATTAAGCTGATAATGGACCAGTGTAAAGAATTAAGTGGGTTTCTGGGCACTCCGCATGTACCATCCTAAATGCTTGTTTTTGACTAGTTCTGGAGAGGGTGGGCTTTGGCGGGGGGGGGGATCCACCTGGATGATGGGACGCCAGTCAGTGTGCCAGAACACTCAACCCACAGCAGCTCACAGTGGGGAGGAGAGCAGAGTGATGAAGCCAGTTCAGAGAGGGGGGGTGATTAGGAGGCCATGACTGGTAAGGGCCAATGGGAAGTTTGACCAGGACACCGGGGTTACACCCCTACTCTTTTCGAGAACCGCCCTGGGATTGTTAATGACCACAGAGAGTCAGGACCTCGGTTTGACGTCTCATCCGAAGGACGGCGCCTGTTTACAGTCCAGTGTCCCCCCTCACTATACTGGGGCATCAGGACCCACACAGACCCCAGGGTGAGAGCGCCCCCTGCTGGCCCCACTCACACCTCTCCCAGCAGCAACCAATGTTTTTCCCAGGAGTGTCCCTCCAGGTACTGACCAGGCTCACACCTGCTGAGCTACAGTGGAGGGGCTGCCAGTTGTGAGTTGCAGGGTGATGTGGCTGCTGGATATTTCCACTCCCAATAAATGGGAATTCCTAATGATCTCTATAGTGTTTCTGGGCTCTCCACTCGGAGGTATTACTAGGTCATGGGGATCCCCTCCAGCCCCACCAGTGTGCAGCCCCACCTGGATGATGCTTTCCTAAGAATACAACTGCTCAGCACCCTGGTCTATGGCAATCGAGAGGGCTGATGTCTTAACTTGGATATCCACATTCTCAGTTTGCTCAAAGTGGATGTGTGGACGTCTTCACCAAGCTTGAGTGCTCGAGGTTGTGGAAGCTAAAACTTTAAAGCCAACTTCAAATTTTTTTTTTGTCCCACTCAGACCTAGTGCCTGCTGACCAGCAGCTGATGAACGACATGGGGATGTTCCGAGATCTGCTCCCGGCCGCAGAGAAGACGGCTCTGCTCTTCCACCTGTCCTACCTGTGTCTGGCCACCCACCCCGAGCTGGAGAGGAAGCTGAGGCTCAAGGCCAC